AAAATGTGTGAGGCAAATAACATGGGTGACTGTCCATAAAATCCTTGCGAGCCCAAGTAAATCTTGGCTATAAATAGCCAAGCTCAGTGCATTGAACGGCACAAGGAAAAAGAGAGAAAGGGAGGAAGAAAGGAGGGGAGAAAGAGGGAAAATGGGTCAAAAATTTTGTTGACCTAAGAGTTTGCGGTTACGATCAAAATTTTGGGTAAGATTTTTTAGTTATTATTTAGTAAATTATATATGTTCAAGTCATTTAAAGTTGATCTTCATTAAATATTTTTGGATCAAATTTAAGTATCATTATCTTTCATTAGTTATTCCAAAAAATTATTTTAGGTTAACTAAGCCTTTATTACTTATTGTTATTCTAAAATATTATTTCAGTTATTTTGTCACAATACATGGTATCGAATAGAAGTCAAGAAGAAAGTAGGGTTTCTTTTATTTTTTACTGTCATTGATGTATTTCATGCATATTTGGGGGTTTCATATCAAATATATTTATATATATATATAATGTAATATTATATTACTATAATCATGGGGTCAAATTGAGATTTTATAAATAAATTGTGATCATGCACATATTGTACTTTTTTATTGAGATCCTAATTATCTTGTGAAATCACGTTACATAATAAATATTTTTTTTATTATTATTATTTAATTTTGATTGTTGTGGGGTCTGACTACAATATGACTTTATTTTGTGATTTTAATAAAATTACTATGAATGCACATAATTAAGGGTAGAGGGTTAGTAGATGCGTGATCCTTGCGAGGATTCACAGGATTCCTACTAGTTCTTAGGTTCACCGGTTAGTAATATCGATTGTCGTGGTAGCTTGTGTGGTACTACATAATTTTTGGTGTTGGTGTTTCTAGAAAAACAAGAAGGGCATTGGGTTCCCTAAGGTGCACGACCCCCAAGTTTTCTCTACGATCAATATGAATCAGAAAATTGACGGATTGATATGATCGATATATACCGAAATTTATTTATTTATTTGATTCATTACTTTGCCCTATTCCTGCATTTATTCGCGATTTAATTATATTAAGCATTGTTTTAAAACCTTAATAGTCATTGATAAACATTATCCTACTTAGCTAGTGAACTCATCCCTATTTAACATTTTTCAAATATATGAAGTCAAGTTGGAGAATAGGCTGAAAGGATAGAGTCTGCTATTGTTATTTCTCTTTATGTAGTATCAAGAATATTTGAAATGATCTTGTGAGGATTATGTACTTGTACGTAAAATAAAATAATATAAGGAAGATTATTGTAAGTGCGATGTAATTTTATTCCTTACTCACACCCGAGTATTTTTTTAAAAGAGAAAAAAAAATCGGGTTGTGACATGATGCCTATGATCTAGGTAGTCCGTGATTCATCTGGTTTATAATTTAGGTACTACATTCATGTGATTTGACGTTTGATTTTGATAAAGAGACGATGAGTGAGGTAAGTGATTAATGATAGTTTTGAGGGAAAAAATATGATTAGGATAAAATTCAAACACACTATTGTTTTATTATATAGATTTATATATTTTCTCCCTAAAAATATCACATCACTCATTTTTATCATATATTTAATTATTTAATATTTAATTAATTT